CAAGGTGGCAGATCCTGGTGGGGATGTGATCAATGCCCAATCTGTTACCTCTGTCCCACCCCTGCCTGACTGTTTGGACAGCCGTGGGTTTTGCCAGCGCCCTTTAAGTAGCATGAAAGGGCCTCATGCTGGCCTGTTTAGTTTAAGGAGATTACATCGGTGCCATGCATGCAGCCACGGGGTGTGTGGAGCCAGCTTGGCTGAGAACAGAGTGAACAGTGCGTCCCAGGAGAACAGATGTTTGCAGGCAAGCCCGTGGAGGATAAAACTGCTCACACTCGGCCGGATGTACCGTACACACGGCCTGAGCAGACAGACACACACACACAAACACGCACACACATGTCACCCATGTCCAGATCAACCCACACACATCTACAGGTCTGTGCACTCACACTTGTACTCAAACACGGGCATGTAGTACACTCCCACAGTCACATTAAACTCACACGGTCACTAACACACACTCACTAATACAGAGTCACGCACAATACTAACACACACCCACACACAATAAACTTGCACACACACCCTCACATCTCACCTGCCAGGTGCCTGCAAGCACACACCTGCATGCCCACTCCATCCTACACTCGCCCATAGGCAACCACACTCGTGGTCCTCACACCCATTTTCAAAGGCAGACTGGCTGGTGCCGTGCTCTCTGGAGTGTGTCTGTGCACACTGCATCCTCCCAATGGCTTCAGAGCTTCACACCGTTAGCTCACAGATCCCCACCTGCTTTCCTTAGATTCGTCATTGGAACAGAGGTGAACCCAGACCTAAGACGAGTGAGTGAGTGAGAGAGAGAGAGAGAGAGAGAGAGAGAGAGAGAGAGAGTGTGTGTGTGTGTGTGTCTGTGTGTGTCTGTGTTGTGGGGGAGCGGCGGAATGGAATGGAAGGAAGGGACAAGTTTTCTGTTCATGCCTGGAGCAGAGAGCTGACAGCCAGAGCGGTCTGGCCACTGAAAAGAGGGCTCCAAGAAGGGATGTATGGCGCATCCCTGCAGGAAGTCAGGATATGGTGAGGGGGTGCTCTGTGACTTCCAGCTGGCCACAGAACCTTGAACTGCATCATTTACAGCCGAGGAAGATAATATTAACCTGATCTCAACGTCAGAGCGTCTGCCCTGGGCACATACCTTCCGTGAGTCATGCGTTGCTCTGCGTGTCTCACGAGTGGACATGCGTGTTTCACATATGCGCAGTATTCGATTCTCATCAGCACCCCAGGATTTACTTCCAGATCAAAATTGTGAAGCTGGGACCGCGCTGTGGCACCAGTGTGATGCCAGCATGCTAAATGAGCCACCGATTCAAGTCCCGGCTGCTCCACTTCCCATCTAGCTCCCTACTAACGCGCCTGGGAGAGCAGGAGATGATTGCCAAAGGCTTTGGATCCCTGCCATCCACATGGGAGACCTTGGAAGAAGCTCCTGGCTCCTGGTTTTGACCTGGCTGTTGTGGCCATCTGGGGAGTGGACCAGCAGACGGAAGATCCTTTCTGTCTCTGAAACTCTGCCTTTCAAATCAATCAATATTTTGCTTTAAAAAAAAAAAAAAGACTGGGGAAGCTGCAGGTGGCAGTTGTGTTGTTCAGAGTCCCACAGCCCTGGGATGAGCCCCATGGGGCTCCCCCACCTTCTACAAGGGGACCCCCAGCCCAGAGCTGCTTCCCAGTGGACGGGGGAGGGGGCTGGCTCTATAGGTGGTGATCTGGCCCTAGGCTGGGCCCCCCTCTGCTCAGCTTCATGCCAGCGCTGGGGTCGCTGAGTCCTGAGGAAGGCCTGTCCAGTGGTCTGGCACACTGCAGGGGGCCTTGTCTCTCTGTGCCAGCCCTGTGGGCACCGGATAAACACTGCCCAAGATTTCCTGGATGCTGGTTTGTGTTTCAGAGGCTCTGCCATGACTCCCATCTCCTGTCTTCCACTCCCCATCCCAACAGGCACCCTGGCTGCTCCTTGCGGAGGCGGGGGGCAGTCCCTCAGGGTCCCGGGCCCCTGCCACGTGAGCTGCCGGCCTTGCATGGTTGGCACTGGATGTTGTGTGCCCCTCTGTAGTGTGCCCTGGTCCCTCCCCCCTTGCTCACTGCAGGAGGACGAATTGGTACCCCCATTCATTCAGCTGCCACACCCCCTGCACCCCACTGAGCACTGGGACACAGCAGGTGCACACACAGTCCCTCCGAATGAGAGCTCAGTGATGTTTGCTGGAAATTGGGTGAACTCCTACTGCTCTGCCTTCTGTTTTAAGCTAAAACTGGGCTGAGAAGGACAAATGACAGGACATCCCAGTGCTGGGGAACTGACTTACAAGATTTTTGTTTTTTAAATTTTTATTTGAAAGGTAGATTTACAGAGAAAAATAGAGGCGTAGAGATTTTTCCATCTGCTGTTTTATTCTCCAAGTGGCCACAATCACAGCTGGACGAAGCTGAGACACTATCAGGAGCCAGGAGTTTCTTCCTGGTCTCCCACATGGGTGCAAGGACCTAAGTACTTGAGTCATCCTCCGCTGCTTTCGCAGGCCATAAGCAGAAAACTAGATCGGAAGTGGAGCTGCTGGGACTTGAGCCAGTGCCCACATAGGATACTGACACAGCAGACAGAGTTTTAGCCTGCTATGCCATGGCACTGGCTCCAGAGCTGACTACACGTGGATGGAACTGAACGCCCACAGCTTGAGCAGGTCAGCAAACACAGGTTTGATCGCAGAGGCCGAGCAGAGGATAGAGGGTGGTTGTAGTCTTGGTGGGCTGCCTGGAGGAGGTGGCACTTGATGCCATCTTAGAGGCCAGCTGGAGAAAAGGGATGCTTTAGGCTGGTGGCTGGAGTTCAGAGCTTGGGGAACCCAGGAAGCTGGTGGATCCCTTTGTTCAGGAGTGATCCAGCCTCAGGGTCAGGACCTCCGTGTTCGGTGGCTGTAATGTTGAAAAGGATGAACTACATCCTGCCCCTGCCTGTTGGACGCTGGGCTAACGGCCCAAGAGTACAGGGCCGGGAGCAGAGGGCAAGCCAGGAGCTCGAGGCTTCATCTCTGGCAGTTATTAGGGCACAGCCTCTCTTCTTGACAGACTCAGTTTCCCCATAGTTAAAAGTGAGACTCTGGGGCTGGCGTTGTGGTATACTGGGTGAAGTTACTGTTTGCAGTGCCAGCACTACATATGGGAACCAGTTCATGTCCTGGCTGCCCCGTTTCTTATTTCTTTTTTTAATAAAGAGTTTTTAATTGGAAAGTAATATTTACAGAGAAAAGGAGAGACAGAGAGGAAGATCTCTCCACTAGTTCACTCCCCAAGTGGCTGCAACAGCTGGAGCTGAGCTGATCCGAAGCCAGGAGCCAGGAGCCTCTTCCGGGTCTCCCACGTGGGTGCCAGGGTCCTAAGGCCTTGGGCTGTCCTCGACTGCTTTCCCAGCTCCACTTCCCATCCAACTCTCTGTTTGTGGCCTGGCTTTAGCCTGGCCAAGCTGCAGCTGTTGTGGCCATTTGGGGAGTGAACTGGTGGAGCAAATGGAAGCCCCCTCTCTCTCCCCCTCTAACTCTGGCTTTCAAATAAAATGAATCTATAAAATAACAACAATAAAGCAGGCATCTCTGCGGATGCCTACCATCCCTTGGTTCCCATAGCATGGGTTTCTCTGCCCATTATCGTGCCGGCTGGTCCCTGTCCCAGTCCCCTCCGGTACACAGGATTACAGGTTCAGGTCCCAGAGCTGGTGTGGAGGCTGGAGGGCACAGGGGTTGCCCACCCTCAATGCAGACCTGGCCTCCAGGAAGTTACATAAGAAGGATGTTTATTTTTGGTGAAGCTGGGTGAGATTTAATTCCTTAAAAAAAAAAAAAAAAAACCAAACTTAAAACTTACTTGTCTGCCAGAAAGATAAATATCTTTGCTGAAAGCTCTCCGTCCAGCTGCCAGCTGTAGTTTGCGTAATGTCACCGAAGCTGTGGCCATGTCTGTGTGTGAGTGTGTGTACACACAGGCACATGCCTGGGCTCATGGGGCATCATGCATCACGTCCCGGCTGCTCTGCCCCACCTTGGTCCCCTGCAGTCTGCCTGCTCATACTCAGGAGAGTGTAACTGGCAAGGCACTTGCAGCTTTGCGCTGTGCTGCCTGTGGTGTTGGACTGGGGCCCTGCCCAGGCTCCCAGACACAGAGACCTTCACACCTGGGGAACTTCCCTAGGGTCAGGGGCTTGTGGCCATGAACTGGTTGGAGCCTTGCTTGTTAACTTTTGGTTTCACAACTGTCCTGAGAAGGAAAATCCCATAGGTATCTTTGCTCCCGTTTTATGGAGGGGAAAACTGAGGATGTAGGGTGATTAAATAAAGTCTGCCCAAAACACAGAGCTAGAGAATCTAAGTTTTGGTATTTGGGGTGGCCACAATGGCTAGAACTGAGTCGATCTGAGGCCAGGAGCTTCTTCCAGGTCTCCCACATGGGAGCAGGGTCCCAAGGCTTTGGGCCGTCCTCGACTGCTTTCCCGGGCCACAGGCAGGGAGCTGGATGCGAAGTGGAGCAGCCAGAACATGAACTAGTACCTATAGGGGATCCTGGGTATGCAAGGTGAGGATTTAGCCACTAGGTTATCACACCAGCCCGAGAAGTCCCTTCCGTTGCACAGTAGGTGGGAACAGTGGGAGGGTGGGTTGTCAGGCAAGAAGGGACCCCTCACACTGGCTCCTTAGGCAGAGGCTCCATGAACTGTTGAATCACTCAAGTGGAATTAAAAGGGGTTGAAGTCAACCAGACCAACCCAGAGCCAAGTAGCAGTGGTGCTGGAAGACATACGTCTCAAGATGATGGCGAAGAAGCCCAGGAAGGGGGTTTGCCACATGGGGGTAACACATGGGATCCTCAGCCTTCCACCTTCACCCCTAATGTGTTTCGGGGAGCATGGCTCCTCTGGTACGTTCTCCCCACCCAATACTCTGTCCTGTCTTACTTGGTTTAGCCATAGTTTCTGATCTTGTTTTGTTCGCCCTTTCCCCTCCCAGCTAAGGAGAGCTCCCTGGGAGAGCCGGAGCTACCACCTGACTCTGACACGGTGGGCATGGATGGCAGCTACCTCAGTGTGAAGGAGGCTGGGGTGAAGGGGCCCCAGGACCGGGCCAGCACCGACCTCCCCAGCCCGCTGGAGAAGGCTGACTCGGAGAGCAATAAGGGCAAGAAGCGGCGGAATCGCACCACCTTCACCAGCTACCAGCTGGAGGAGTTGGAGAAGGTCTTCCAGAAGACCCATTACCCGGATGTGTACGCTCGGGAGCAGCTGGCCATGAGGACGGATCTCACCGAGGCACGTGTACAGGTCAGTGAGAGCTGCAGCTGGGGGCACCTGACTGAGCTGCAAGTGTGCCCAACCTGTCTCTGGCCCTGACCTGAGTGCCTCTGCTTTGATCCACTTTCATAGTGGGCTTATGTCTGTATTGGGGGACAGGGCTGAAAGTGGGAGGGCCCCAAGTGGAGGAGCAGGAAATTGCCAGCTGGGTCTCTGGGCTGCAGAGGGTGTGAGAGTCTGGGCCCTCTCATGATGCACCCAGAGCTCTCATTTCAGACCAGAAATAGGACATTTAAAGCAGCTCCTGGGCAGTAGCTGAAATGTTTCGGTCAGTCTGGGATGGCTGCCTCTTTCTCCAGCTTTCACATCCTAACCCAGCATGCTTCCTCTGAGAAGTCCTCCTGACCACAGCTGCTACAGCAGGAGCACCTAGCACCACTCAGCCAGCACAACCCAAGTCAAAACAATACCACCCAACAGTACCCAGTCCAACCCAACACAGCACAGCACAGCACAGCTCAGCACAACAGAACAGAACCCAACCAACACGGCACGGCACAACCCAACACAAAGCAATGCCACACAGCAGAACCCAGCACAACCCGACACAGCGCCGTGGAATCCAACTCAACTCAGTGCCACCCAAAATAACCTAAACCAACACAGCACAACCAGGTCACCTTCCACCATATGATCCTATCTTATCTCATTTCTAGAGTGCATGACTGGCTGAAGTATTTTGTTTCTTTGCACTTGAAGGCGAGTTCCTTGAGGGCAGGCACTATTGAACTGTCTCTATACTCGCACTGCTTAGAGGAACAGGTCAAACACAGAGCCTCAGGGCCAAAGAGTAAGGATATGTGGACTCGTTGACCTGCTTGCACCAGAGAGGAGTGACTCCACTCTGTGCTCAGAAATCATAGTGAGGGAAGAGCCAGAAGCAAAGCAGAGATTGCTGAGCTGCTAATGTCCAGACGGCAAAAATCCACCCAACAAAACGTGAGCTTCAGCTAAACTGAAGGACGGCCCAGCAGCTCCTGCTTTTCCAGCCCAAGGTGTGGCAGACACCAGCAGGCCCCTCCGAACCTGTCCTCGGCTCCAGTCGATGGATGTCCATGGAGCTGTTGTGGCAAGCCTGGCACACTCCTGCAGGCATTGCATTGAGGCGGGCAAAGCCACTCTTGTGTTCAGTGTGAGTGTGCGTATCTCTTGCAGTGTTAGAATTTCCTGTGTCAGGAGGGAACACGCCCTGTTTAGCACAAACAGGAATGGCGCTGAGGCCTGCACGATGGTTTTCTGCCCGCCATATAGGAAAAATAGTGTTGCCTCTGCGTACACACACGTGCAAATGTGTGTCTACTTCCAGAGGGAGAGAGACCTCCCTCGACTGGGTCACTCCCCAGATGGCTGCGGTGGCTGGAGCTGCACCAGACTGAAGCCAGAAATCTGGAGCTCCATATGTGTTTCCCCACATGGGAAGCAGGCACGCGCATTGTTAGACCATCTTTGGCTGCTTTGCTGTGTGCATTAGCAGGGAGGTAGATCAAAAACAGAGCAACCAAGACTTGAACCAGTGCTCTGATGGAAGATTTTGGCATCGCCAGTGGCAGTTTAACCTGATGTGCCACAACTCTGGCTCTTGGGTTTTTTTGTTTTGTTTAAGATTTATTTTTTATTTTATTGGAGAGTCATATATAGACAGGAGGAGAGACAGAGGAAGATCTTCCATCCATTGATTCACTCCCCAAGTAGCTGCAATGGCCAGAGTTGTGTGGATTCAAAACCAGGAGCCTCTTCCAGGTCACCCACACGGGTACAGGGTCCCAAGGTTTTGGGCCATTCTTGACTGCTTTTCCAGGCCACAAGCAAGGAGCTGGAAGGGAAGTGGGGTCGCCGGAATATAAACTGGCACCCATATGGGATCCTGGCACATGCAAGGCAAGGACTTTAGCCGCTAGGCTACCACGCTAGGCCCCTGGATCTTGCTTTAATCTAAGAATAAGAACAGCATGCTGAAATGGAGATGCAATTAAGTGAAAAGTCTAGGCTAAGGGTCACTAGTTACCACTGAGCTCAAACATCGACCCTGAGCTTCGTGGCAGCCAAGGCAGAAAGGGGAACCTTTATGGGTTGTGTGCCTTACTGCCTGATAGAAAGATCATGGAATCTCAGAAAAATCATGCAGGCAGGGATCACAGGATCTCTTGGGACAGCCAACCTGGAAGAGGCCCAGAGGTGGGATGTGATAGCCTAGAGTTGACCATGACACCGCAGTGGTGTGGAGCCTTGGAATTGCAGCCCCCTGGATCCCAGGCCAGGGCTTCATTGCCTTTGGTTAGCCGTCCCAGGATTTGTGCCAGATTATTCCATGTCCTTTCCTTTGTGTAGCAGCAGCAGGGTGGGTGGGATCTCCGTGTGCGTCAGATTGCTGGGTTGAGCTCTGAGCCTGGCTGGCAGTGTCCGGGGTGGGGGTGGGGCTGTCATGGAACACTTCTCCCCTACCTGCAGACTCTGTTCAGCTGGTGGCAAGCTAGTTTAAGGTGCCCGACATGGAATGCCAGTGGGGATAAGGAGGAGGTGACAGGGCCAGCAAGGGGCGATGGCGGGGTCGGGGGATCCAAGACGGACATTTCCTGGGAAGAGGCCTAGGGTTTGGCCCTGCTCCAGGGGGCTGCAGGGGCCTCTCTCTGCTGTGTCTGGGATTCCCATCTCTGCAGCTGGTGTCTGAAGACAATAAGACAGGCCTCCCCGCCCTGGGCCACCCCGCCCTGGCCCCAGATGGGCTGCGGTTAGGAGGCCTCCGCCAAGACAGTTGGTTCCTTGCACAGCCCAGTCCTCAGGAAAGGTCTGTGGCTGGCTGAGCCCAGGGGCCTGGGGCGGAGGGTGTTGGAGCGGGGTGGTCCTGGGATGCCATTGGGACCTGGTGGTGGAGCTTCTCCCTTCCCTAGGGTCGCGCTCCCAGAGCTGCCGGAGGCTGGGGCGGGGGGGGTGTGCCATGGAGGGGTGCCCTGCCAGTGGGCCTGGTGAGGAGTAAGGGTCTTGCATGGCCAACCAGGCTTGACCTGGCCAGAAAAGGAAGAGCAGAAGGGGGAAAAGGCAGAGGCAAAAGGGGGAAGGAGGAGACGGTCACCGCTCTGTGCCACCGCGCCTCACTATCCTTGCTTTTCTTGCTCTTGCCTTCCATAGTGGAAGCCTTCAGCCTGACCCCCTGCCCTCCTGCCTCGGTAACAGGCTCCCTCCACCCTCCCACCCTGCCCCCACACTCCTCCCTTAAGTTCTAGAACCCATGTTGACCACTAGCCACTTCTTGCTACCCCCAACTCCTTCCAGCCCTGCCCTGGTCTTTCTCCCCCTTCCTGCCACCTGGAACCCACAGTCACTGCGAAACATCTCCACCTCTCCCCCACCCCACTCCGCCCAGCAGCAGCAGCAGTCAGACTGCACTTGCCCCGCCCCCCCCAGCAGGAAAGGAGCTGAGGTCCATCCCCTCCCCCTCCCCGGCTCCCCCCACAGCCAACCCTGGGAGGCTTGAGGCAGGGGTGGAAAGACTGAACTAAGCCTGCAGGAAATTAAACATGAAATGAAAACAAGCTCTCTGATTCATTCTCTCCTGCCCCCCCCCACCAACCCCCAGGCCAGGCCACTGATAAAGGGGGATCCCATTTCGGCAGTACAGAGGGGAGACCCCCCTCTGTGCCCTAGGCTCCCTGTGGGCAGTAACCTGGGCCTGGAAGCTTCCAGAGCAGGCCTGAGACAGCTCCCTCCCCCGCACTCCTGGCACGCCCCCTTCCCCAGCAGTCCAGGAGAAGTCAGTCCCCAAGGAGTGTGCTACACCCCTGGGAGGGGTGTGTGTGCTCTCACCCTCACGTGTACCAAGGGTCAGGAATGGGAAGGTGGGCTGCAGCGGGGGGGAGGGGGTGCATCTCTTCCCCCCTCTCGGCCTTCTCGACATTTCTGATCCCTTTCCTCCAGAAAAAAAAAAAAAAAAGCCAGCGAGAAAGGTCAGGAGCAGTAAGAAAGCAAACAGCAAGTCCTCCGAAGGCCTGGGGTCTGCATTTCCCATCATCTCCCTCCCGCACTGCTGGCACACCAGGCACCTTTCCTGTGAAGATCTCTGCACGGATGCCTGCCCCATTGCACAGATGCAGACAGTGAGGCTAGCTGTGCTCCCCTGAACTCATCAGCCAGCTTTCCCGGAAGCCCAGGCAGCTTCCTCCCTCCTCACCCTAGGTCCGGGAGGAGTGCTTACTGCTCCCAGGCAGATGGGTCAGGCAGGGCCACTCTTGCTGTGTGTGGTTCGGTAGCAGGCGGTGCTGGGCGTGATGGGAGTGGGAAGGTTATCCATCCACACAGTGGGGCGACACCTTGGACTCTGCATGACTCTTTAGCCAAGGGTCCTGGTCACTGCCCTGGGCTTTGGTCCCCAGGTTATGTCTGGGGGAGCTGCTTGATAGGTGTGCCCACTTCACACTGCAACCAAGTAATGGATCAGGAGTAGCAGATCCCAAGGGGGAGCCCTTGGCCGTGGACATGTTCCTGTTAAGGAAATGGATCCAGCATTTCCCGCCAAACACCCTGTGCCCTGTGGCAGGTGGGCCTCCATGGCTCCTCAGCACCAGGCCACCCCCGTCCTCTACAGCAAGCCCCTCATTTGGCTTCCGCCTCCCTGTTCCCTGCTTTCCCACGGCTACCCTATCCCTGACATCTCACAGTTTCTGGAACTGCCTTACCATCTCTGAAGCCAGGCCTGGACTTAGCTCCTTCTAGCCAAGCACTCAAGGACCAGCTTGGGTCCTCTTTCCCAGGAGCCTTCCCTGATTGACTCTCTCGCCCAGTCAAGCATCCCCTGTTAGTCCCCAGGGCTCCTCCTTGCTTAAACAAGTTGGAGGGAGGTCTGATCTGGGAGATTGTTTCCAATAAGAAGGCTACAGGGAGGATGTGGGGGAGTGGGTAGGGACCCCTTAGCCCCACGAGTGTGCTTCCTGGGAACCACACATGGCCATCTGGGAACAGGATGTCTGGGGTAGCAGGTGCAGCTTTGTTCTTGGGTTCCCTCCCAGGGTCTGGAGCACCCAGGCTGAGCTTGGTCAGGGGACCACTAGGGAGTTAACAAGTAATAGGTCACATGTGCATAATGCTTGTCCCCTATTGGTTCTGAAGCTTAGAAAAACCTGGTTTCTAGTCCAAAACCAAGCTGCTCCCCTCCCTGGCTCAGGGTCGATGATTTTAGACCCAAGCTCTTGAGGATGAAGGCCAGGGCTCACTGGACCTGTACCCTTGCCAGCCTCGACAAAAACATCGCGACTAGAGGTGGGAGGCACAAGAGGTCGGTTTGCAACTGCCTGACCCCTGCACCCGGCTGCTTTATCCTGCAGGTCTGGTTCCAGAACCGCCGAGCCAAGTGGAGAAAGAGGGAGCGCTTTGGGCAGATGCAACAGGTTCGAACCCACTTCTCCACAGCCTACGAGCTGCCCCTCCTTACCCGAGCGGAGAACTACGCCCAGGTGAGGCACTGCCACTGGCCGCTCTGCTCCCCGTACCCCAAAACTCAGAACGGGCTCCTGCTGCTAGTGAGGGCTGGGGCTAGGTCCTTGCCTGCTCCAGGTGACCACTTAGCTTTAATCCAGCTGTGTGCCTATTTGTACCAGAAGGTGGCTAGCTCTGGGCTATTCCTGCCCATCATCATCACCATTGTCATCAGTATCCAAGATCTGGCTGGATTCAGGCAAGACAAGTTTGGGATAGCGAGAGTGGCTTCATGAGCCGCTATACTGAGTGAGCTTTCTGTCACTGTCATGGAAGACAGCAAACTTTGTGTAGTGAAAAAAAGCTCTCAGCTTTGGAGGTACAGCATTCCAAGATGAGGTGGCCCCTTGGGTTGGGGTCTGGTAAGGGCGGCTGGTGGAAACACACCATGGCAGGAACATGTCTGTGTGGGGAGGAGCTTATGGTAAGCGGTGGGTTGGAGGGGGACAGCTGGGCTCTCCCAATCCCTTGCAAAGGAACCTAGGGAACTCCCACCAGGCTTAAAAATTTCATCGCCTCATCACGTTGCTGTGGAACCAAGCCTTTGTTTTGTTTTTTTTTTCTTAAGATTTATTTATTTTTCTTGGAAAGGCAACTCATTTATAGAGAGGAGAGACAGAAAGATCGTCTGTTCACTGGTTCACTCCCCAAATGTCCATAATTGCCAGAGCTACGCCGATCTGAAGTCAGGAGCCAGGGGCTTCTTCTGGGTCTCCTACGTAGGTGTAGGGTCCCTAGCTTTGGGCCTTGATTTCTGGTGCCCAAGAGCCAGGGTCGTCCTCACCCTCCCACCACAGATGGCAGGCCCCAAGGTATCTTGCAAGTGGGGGGTACTGTGACACCCACCAGCTGTCCATATTCTTGAGCCACAGGGTGTACATGACATGGCCAGTCTGCCAGCCACTGGGAGGGCAGGTAAGCTGGAGTCTGCCAAGACCCTGATGGGCCAAGCTGGACCTTCACACACCACATCTATTTCCTGCTAAACACTTAGGGGGCATGGGAAGGTGGCCAATGGGAGTAAAGAAATAGCAATGCCCTGATGGAAGATAGGGGTGAAGTGAAACGCCCACTCGCATTGGACATGACCACCTTTTGCATCCCAGGACATGTGGCTGTCCAACCTGGGCCCTCTGTCCCCTTCTGGGACCCTGGCACCCTCAGGGCAACCTCTGGAAGCTCAGCTGCTGACCTTGGCTTCTGCGAGGACTTAATTCTCCACTTGTCACCTGCACCTGTTGAACCAGAGCTTCTACTCCCAACCTTAAAGCTCTCTGGGTTGAGATGGTCTCACCTGGTTCAGGTGCCCAGCTTCAGGATTACCAGTTTTGCAGCAGACACCATGGCACTGTCCATTGAAGTTCAGCACACAGGAACGTTCTCAATAGAACAGTAGACTCAGGAGCATGGAGGGGGTTCAGCGAGGGATGGGGGGAGGATGGAGGAAGAGGCCAGCCCCCTCCACGCCAGCCCCTCATGCCTTGTCCCTTCACTCTTCCTAGATTCAGAACCCATCCTGGATCGGCAACAACGGGGCCGCATCCCCAGTGCCAGCCTGCGTGGTCCCCTGTGACCCTGTGCCCGCCTGCATGTCCCCTCATGCTCACCCTCCTGGCTCGGGGGCCAGCAGCGTCCCTGATTTCCTGAGTGTCTCAGGGGCCGGCAGTCACGTTGGCCAGACACACATGAGCAGCCTGTTCGGAGCGGCAGGCCTCAGCCCAGGCCTCAACGGCTACGAGCTGAACGGCGAGCCTGACCGCAAGACATCCAGCATTGCAGCCCTGCGCATGAAGGCCAAGGAGCACAGCGCTGCCATCTCGTGGGCCACATGACAGGGTCCCTTCTGCCCCGTCCCCCCGCCCTGCCCGCCGCCGCTGCCTCGGTGCTGCGGCCGCACCCATGCTTTCCAGGCCCCAGCCCTCCCTCTCCCTCTTCCCCCATTCGACTTTGCTCTTAGGAACCTGGCCTGGGCCAGGGGCCTGGCCCTCAGCACTTTCAGCCACCCCACGTCTGAGGCCCTGCGGATCGCTGGGAGGGAGGGGGCGGCAGGTCCCTGCCTCTCCCTGGCACAGGCAGCAGTGAAAGACAGGTGGCCTCCTGCAGCTTTACATCTTCTGGAGGGCCCTTCCTCTCGCCTCCTGCTCCCGCCCTGCTGAGTTTCTGACCTTGAGTCAAAACTATATTCCCACCCAGCCTCGACAGCCCAGTCTGGTCCGTGCTTCACCATTCTGTGGCGACCCAGGTCACCAGGCTGGCGGCTGTACTCAAAGAACAGGTTGCCCAATTCTGGTCGGCTGCAGCCCCCGTGACCCCTTATTCCCAAGATCACACGGAGTCCTGGATCCACCGAAGGAAAGGATTGGCAGACTGGAGATCCACGTGACCACCCAGCACCTTGGCTTCCGGGACAGCCGGGCTCTGGCGGGGTGGCCTCTTGGAGACTAGATCTGTGCGGACACTGGGGAGAAGCTGGACCTCACACTCTACTTGCTGGAAGATAAGCTCTGCAAAGGGAAAGGGCTGCGGGAGGAGTCTGGGATGCTTTATTCTCCGTCCAGGCAATGCTGGAGGCTCTGCTCCCCTGGCCTCAGAACCCGTCCAGAAGGACCTGGAGGGGTTGTGTGCCTTCCCAGTCCTGCACTGGCCATCATGAGCTGGGCAGCAGTGTCGAGGCCTTGGAACACACAAGCTGGTACCTTCGGGTCAAGGAGCAGCATACAGGCCACTTGGCCAGGTTCAGCTTCTGAGTAGGAGGGTGCTTCCATGGCTGCGAACTGGCTGCCCTCTCCATTCATCTCTGGTGCCACCCCATTCCTGTCCAGTGCCTGCCTCCCAGGGCAGGTGGGGGCTCTGTGTTCCACTCCTGGTAGCCCCCTTAGTCTCTCATAAAGCCTGCCCTTGCCTGTCCCTTCTACCTGGAGCATCAGAACACAGCCCCTTTCTGTAGCCTTAGGGATGGCTCTGGGGGTTGAGCCCCTGTAGGCCCATGTCCCTGGGAGCGGAATGCCTCTGGAGCCAGGCTTCCCACCTGCCTACCTGACTTGACACATGTAAGCTGGGGCTTGTTGCCAGGCCCCAGTCCTGTGCTATGCTGATGGTGCACAGTGACCGTCCCGAGACAGGACCCCCAGCAGAGGAGCTGCTGGCGAGCTGCACTTGACATTCTGCCTTCTGCCTTCGTGGCTTTCAGTGAACAGCGTCAGCCCCGGTAGGCTCAGGGTGCTGGGTCCCCCAGGGTTGAGCTGAGAAAGACCTTGACATTGACAGGTGAGAACTATGTCCTGGAGTTGCCCAAGGTCTTGGTGAGTGGTTGCGGAGGAGAGGGGGCTGCCAAGAATCACCCTCCTCCCTGCCTGCTCTTATCTGCTCTGGAAAGAAGCGAGCCTTGGCATCCCTTAGCAAGAGACCTCTTTGAGAACTGGGCTCTTGATCCCCTCTTTGAACGGTGAGCAGCATCCTGGGATGTTCTTGGTTGGAAGTTTGGCATTGACCCGTGTGTGTTTGAGGAGCTTGGTTTCACAGAGAGCCCCCGGACTCTTCAAACTCTTAGTGAGAGAGCAGGGAAGGCCTGGAGGCTGGGGGCCTTTGCCCACAGGGTCCTCCTTAGAGGTTTCCAGCAGCTGGAGAAGGTGGGTGGAAACGACATTTCTCGTTTGGTCTCAAAAGAAGGGAACTGACCTGGCTCCGGAAAAGACTAGCTGCTTCTGGAAGGGACTCCTGGGTTCTGTTTATTCCAGTGTCTGTTTTGTGGCTGAGGCTATTGCCAGATCAGGCAAGTTCCCACCCAGAAGTTAGAGAGGGAAAGTCCTCTGTGAGAAGAAGGTATGGCCATGGCCATCCAGCTGCCAGCACAGCTAAGTAACACGCCTCCAGCAAGGACTGTTCGCCTCGCCCAGCTGGCTTCCTGGCTCTGGCTCTGGCCTTGACCTGTGCAGTGTCTCTAAGGAGTCTCCCTTAGCCAGCCCCGCTCCTCATACAGTAAAATGCCCCCAGAACCACTGACCACCAGTGACCAAGGGTGAGCAGAGAGAGAGAGACAGACAGACAGAGGAACCCAATCTGCTGCCCGGGCTCCAAGGACCGCATCTGGCATTCAGGGCAATAAGAGCAGCAGGTGCAGAACTCCCCAGCCCCTCCCTCCCATGTCTTCAGAAAGGAGATCACAGGACCGTGACTCTTGGGAGCCTAGGACAGCTAAGTACACTGAGGCTGTGCGGCTGCCTCTGGAGCCAGGCAGAGAGGCCACTGCTCAGCGAATAAGCTAAGAAAGGCGAGGCTGTCCTCAGGCCACTGCTTAGGAAGCGGGTGAGCGGGCAGCTGGCCCCTGCAGAGACCAGTGTCACAGTCAAGGCTGAGCGCTAAGGTGCTACTACCACCCCCCCATCCCCTGCACCCCACAGAGCCCTGGCTGCACCCGTCCCAGGGGAAGGAGACAGGGCTGTGGGGTGGGTGCACAGAGAGGCTGGTCTCCAGAGTTGGCACTTGGAACACATAGGCTTTGGCAACTTTCCTTGAATTCTTTCCACCAGACTTGATCTTCAGCTTTCGTGGCCGTGCCCCTAGCCTCGGGGCCAGGGTAGTTCAAAGACACAGCAAGGAGATGGGAATGACAGGTGACAGGGCTCCCCCAGCATATACTGCTGTGACATACACAAGCGCCTGCTCGGGGGGGCCTGCTCACTTACTCTCCTATCATGTTAGCCATGCAGGCAAAAGCAGTGTCTCCCAGGACCCCTGCTTTATGCAGTCCCTGCACTTGGGACCATGAAGCGGTTGAGACCATCTTCAAGGACGGTGCTTTGGGGTTCCTGGTCTGAGCCTCAGGTGCAAAGGCCCAGCTGGGCCCCGCTGTGGGAGGGAGATTGTTCAATCTAGCCCCCAGCACAATAATCGGCCATCACACTGTGCCAGAAGGGGATAATAGAAGCTCTGCATCTCAGACATGCCAACCCCACTTCCTGTCTTGCAGGATACAGCAGTAGACATGACATTAGCCAACCTTGCCCATTCCTTTCTGCCCCGTTCACTTACATCCATAGAGCTAGACCTTTATACTACTGATTTTGAAAGACAGTTGGCAGCGCCTGATACTTTGTTTGGGGTGTGCAGTGATGGAAAAAGAGAGCTGAGTGCTAGACGGAACATGAACCTCAACCGATACTTACTGTTCTCATTGTAAGATATTTTAACCCTGTATAAATGCAACTTTTCCTTTAGCTTAATGGCCTGGGGTGGAATATTAAAAATATACATGAAAAATGTAAGAAAAATGTACCAAAAAAAAAATGAGGTTGGTTCCATAAAGTGTTACTGCCTATACCACCATGTAACTAACTACATTGTAGCAAACTATTAAGGGAAATGTTCCTGCCTTTTACAGTAAGTTATTGCACTTACATCTCCTTGGGGAGGGGGAGGAAGACAGAGGGAAGTGGTCTTAGGGGGACCTAAGCCCGGAGGGGAACGAAGAGCAGAACACCCTCAGCTGGGCACAGCCCATGCTGTTTGGTTGTTTTTGTTTGCAATAAACTCCTTCTCCTTCCTCCTCTCCGCTGGAATCTGTCTGTTTTGTTCCTGGCTTGTGACAGATGAAATGTGATCAGAGGGGCCTCTGAAATCTCACGTTAATTGAAGTCGGCAAAAAATACTAACAGTGCCCTTTTGAACTGCTGACACAGTACAGAATGGATTACCGGGGCTAGATTAACAGCAGGTGGCCGGCTGGAGCTCCTGCACAAAGACGGGGTGCATGGCGCTCTGGGGTTCTGGGCTGTGCTGTGGCTGCAGGGGAGCTGCCGGGGGCTGGGAGGGGGGGTGGTGCCAGAGCCCCTCTCTCAGCCAGCAGAATGGGCCACAGTGGCAGCTAGCTGTGCACTTGGCACACGCTGTGCCCCAGGGTCCTTGTAACCAGCTCGCCGTGTCCTCCACCATGTCTCTTGAGGACCGCTTTGCTGGCAAGAGATGATCTGAGAGTGGGAGGGGAGCCAGGGCATGGAGGCTGCCAGCTGATGGGCATCAAGAGAACAGGCCGCTGGGAGAGGAAGGACCTTATCCTGGCTCTGCTGCACACTGCGGGACGAACTTCCCTTGCAGGAGGCGTGCCCGCGGGGTTTTGAAGTTTTATCTCTTGCACTCCAACCTTCTGGTTCATTTGCTACACACCCACAATCGCCAGTAATGATCCAAGTGGAAGTTGGAAGCCAAGACCTCAATCTGAGCCCAAACACTGCAATACAGGCTGCAGGTGTTCCAACTGATTTTTTTTTTTTTTTTTGGTTTTGTTTTGTTTTAGATATATTTATTTTTTATCAGAAAGGCAGATTCACACAGAGAAGGAGAGACTAAGATTTTCCATCCACTGGTTCACTCTTTAAATGGCTGCAATGGCTGAAGCTGAGCCGATCTGAAGCCAGGAGCTGCTTCTGGATCTCCTACCTCAAGGCAGGGTTCCAAGGAGTCATCCCTGACTGCTTTGCCAGGCCACAACCCAGGGCGCCAAATGGGTTGTGGAGCAGCCGGGACATGAACCGGCACCCATATGGGATTCCGGCGTGTGCAAGGTGAGGATTTTAGTCACTAGGCTACAGCACTGGGCCCCCAACTGACATTTTGACGGTGAGGCTAGATACCCACTCCCGGATGCTTAAAAAACAAAGACTGGAGAAGATTGATTGGTTTGAAAGGCAGAGACACAAAGGAAGCTCTTCCATCCACTAGTGCTTCTCCACTAACACCTGCAGCAGCCAGAGCTAGGTCAGGCTGAGATCGGAGCCTAAAACTATCTGGGCCTCCCACCTGGACGGCAGAGCCTCACGGTCTGTGGGTGCCAGGGACCCAGCCGGCTGAGCCACCACTGCCGCCCCTCAGAAACTGGAGTCTGCGAGCGTGCTGAGCCTCAACGCCAGGCAGTCTGATTAGGGTTAGCGTCCTGACCATTGGGTCCAGAGTCCCCTACTCTCAAAAGCAATTTTTTTTAAAAGATTTTTTGTTTTGTTTTGTTTTTTCAATTGGGAAGGTAGGAGAGACAGAAGGATTTACTTTCTGTCGGTTCACTCCCCAAGTGGCTGTA